CTACAGGGTCAGATTACTTTATTAGTGTCTTTTTTTAAACCCCCCATAAGATATTCATTCATGCAACGTTTATTTAGACAGGTTAATCCCATTGTCCCATATATGCACACACATACGAGCAAAAACATGGCCGCTCTTTCTCCTTTAGCCACAGATAAGAAAAAGGAGGAAAAAGGAAGAACATATGTTAAAAAAGATATTTCAGGTGTGACCTTTCCTCCTGTCCCATCCTTCTCTCTCTGCTGAGCTGTGTTAGCATCTACGAGTTTCCAATGAAGCCCTTTTAGTCTCACAGCATACACACATAACTCATTTAGTCATCAGCAAACGCTTTGAGTGTGTCATCAGAAACTTCTGATTCTACGACATATTTAAGCTCCTACATCACAACAACATAATCCAATGATTCAAATGACTTTTTAATGTAATCAATACCTCATATTTGTTTCCTGGATATATGTGCGTGTGTGTTTGTGTTACAGTATTTGTGTATTTAAATGTGTGTCCCCCTCCTGCTGTTCTATCCAGACTTCGGTTGATTGATGATCTCCACTCCCACAGGGTCAGCAGGGTCACGACCTCCCACTTTTGACCCCCCTGCTGATAGGTTCACGCATAAACGCACGCAGGCAGGCATGTGCACATGTGCACGCACACACACACGAAAACAGATGGCCTAGGGACAAATGGAGCTCTTTCACCTTTCTCCCACCAACAGCCCATGTTTTCCTGATTTCTCTCATTGTTAAAAATTAATACAACACACCTATGTCACATCTGCAAAAAATACTCTTGACAACGAAGAAAAAAACAGTTTCTCTTTGGAAAAAAAGCAATAAAATATACATAAAACGCCAAACAATATGCTCTTTGTAGATCTTCTGTTTTTTTAATAAACACAGAAGAATAATTGAAGTTTGGGATTGAGCGTTAAAGAGACTAGCTTCCTGCTGATGCTGCATCATCACACCCCTGACCCTACTGATAAGACAAGGAACCAACAGAAGACGAATGCAGCGATCAATCTAAAACATTACAAACCATGTTGTCAGCATAAAACGGTTAGAGCTGGAAACAAAGTTCAATTCAATATTGAAGCAAAATCTTCCTAAAAGTCAATTCAAACCTCAGAAATGTCTCCAACTAATCCCAACCCCATACAGATTAAGTGAAGACAGATTATTAACTCCTCCTCAGGTTTTGATGGAATCGGCTCGTTTTTTATTCCTCTCCAGAGCTGCCGTCCTCAACCAGCTGGCAACACGATGCTCAATCTCCTGCGGGGCAGACAAACAGGAAACAATGTTTCAAATCTCCACAGATGTGTGTTTACATCTGGTTCTGTGATGCAGCAGCGACGTAACGCTGCCGTGTGGTTTTTATTCTACTGACTTCATGTTTGCAGGGCTCCTGCACAATTTTAATTTATAAAATCCTTATTGTTCCAGGCTCTGTATGTTTTCCTGACCATGGGATAGTTTGACTGATGCAACACAAACATTTACTGTACATTTATTGTCAATATTTATCAGAAATTGACATCTCTTGTAAATTGCAGATTTAAGTCAAATGTTTATTAGTGCTAAAAAAACACTAAAAACTGTATTTAAAATATTATTTTCCCCCCATTTTATTAAAAAAGGGGGAAATTAGTCTTTTGTTTTTAATAAGGTCTTCTAATTGATACAGAAATTATTAAGCAAATCATAACTGACAGCATGCTTGTTTATACATTTATTATAATTTGAAAAAAATCACACTTTTATACTAGGAACTATATGATTGTTATATTCATTATATTCAGTACTGCACAATAAAAGTTGCATCAAAGTGCAAAAAGTGATTATTCTGTGCATATTTTTTGTTGAAGCTGATGATTTCAAAATAATTTCAACTTGCAAAATGGTTCATTTGTGCCGCTCTGAAAGTTATTTTGTCTGGAGTTTGTTGCATCGAGTCACTATTCAGTCCCTTATTCTTATTCTGTTCTGACAAAAGCCTCATAAATGTGGTGCTCTATGAACTTAATTAAAGGACTTTAAATTATTTTACATGAGGTCAAAGTGTGTTATAAACAGCTCACATTAGCTGTGACTGAACTTTAAAATACATTTTTAAACAGGGACACTTGGAATTAAAGTGAAAAAAGCTTTAAGGATGGACTTTAAAAGGCCCAGGTCAGTGAAAGAGCTTAAGTCCTGAGGAAGCTGGTTTCAAAGTCTTGGTGCAGCGACTAAAAACAGCCTGATGGACCGAGCGTTTGGATTTGGATTTTGAAACACGGTCAAAATGCTTAAGTTGATCTCAAAGTCCTCCCATGGAAAGCTACTATCCATCATCATCTTTACCCACTTCATCCTTTTTGGGTCGCAGGGGTCACTGGTGCCCATATCCAGCCATCACTGTGCGAAAGCTACTACCGGTAAGTTAGATAAGGTGCAAAAAGGTCATTAAGAGTTTTAAAACAACCAGTAAAAGTTTAAAATCAATCCTAAAGCAGATGAAGTCCATGGAGAAACAGGCGATGTGCTCACGTCTGGGAGCGTTAGCTAAACGACAGGTCGCAGAGTTTTGGACGAGGCAGCTCAGGGGTCAAGCTTGAAACCGATAAAAGCATGAATGGACTATTCCAGGCCCAGGACTGTTTTTAAAAAAGGTTTGACCTCAGCTAGAAGAAGCTGGTCTTAACATATGGTCGTCAAATTTTAGGTCTTTATGCAAGTTTTTTAACTTTTATCTTCACTGTCAGAGCACCAGAGGTACAAGGTGCATCATCACTCAAAACATCCCACTCTGTCTTTTCTTAAAAACTGCAAGTTTTGATTGAGAAGATTAAAAGTCACTACCTCTTTGCCTCGTGGGTAAATAAACGATGACAAATGTGGAAAAAGGTGAAGAGGGAAGCAGGAACAAGGGATGATGGGAGACAGTTTGACCCACACACCCGTCTCGCTCTCCTGAGGGAGTGTCGGTCTGTGAGTTTTGGGCTCGCCATGTCCGCACAGTGTGCCGTGTCCTGAATGAAAACCGTCTGATCCTCAGCATCCTCACTCCTGACCTGGAGCACTGACAGCTCCTTCCACGGGTCAACTCCTCCTGCCGGGACGATAAAACATTTAAATCTGAAATAAAGTCTCAAAGCTGATGTTCTTTCTGTTCCCTGTTCTGTTCAGGTCCTGTGGGTTTAGGTCTCCAGGCCTACCATTGACATACAGAACCCTGTGGGTATGCGGGTCGTCTCCTCCATAGTAGCTGTTCGTGAAGGCGATGCGTGTAGGCAGGGAATGCTGGGAAATCCCAAACACCTTGGCACAGAGTTCAGTGTGAGTCTGCAGGGTGAACATCCCAGAGAAGGGACAGGTTGTGTCCTCACAGGTCTGGTCTACACACACACACACACACACACACACACACAACACACACACACACACACGGGAGGTTAGAGATGGGTCAGTGTGTGTCTGGCTGTGTGTGAGCATCTGGTGTGCTGTACAGAAGCCAAACTCAGTGCAGGTCTGGTAGGTCCACTGTCTCTCTGCTGTTCTGCTGGAGTGGAGAGAAGTGTCCATCAGATCCTTCAGGGTTTTCTCATGGGAAACATCTAAACATGGCTCATCAGTGGCGAAGCGGTAAGTCTGCACACATTCACACAATGAAATCACAACTTCACCTAAAATGAAAGAGTTTTTGTTTTTATTCAGGTGCATGAGGGAGACAAAGCTGGCTCGACGGTGACATCTGGTGGTGACTTCTGAACATTACATGAGTGGAATGTGTTTCAGAGGGATTTTCTTACCTTTGAGAGTTGAACAAGCCCATTGTAGGTGCCCATCTCTGCTTCGTTTTCATCACTGGAGTTGGTCATGACATCACAGAGCTGTTTTATAGACATGAGCACCCCCTCTTCATTATACTGCACGGCTCCCATTATGATGTCAGCCAAGTTCTGCATCAGCTCCACCTGAGAAACAAGGAGCGGGTGGGGAAAGGTTTCCACACTGATTTCTTATCATAAGTGGATGGATAACTAGAAAGATAATTATAAGTAAAACTAGAGAAATGTGAAATGCAGCGTGAAAGCTGAACGATCATTGCTGAAAGCAGCTGAAGAAGCTGAAAACAGGCTGAAAATGTTCAATCTGCAAACTGACCATGAGACACATGAGCTGACATTTGCTGAAAGCAGGAAAATAAAGGTGGAAAGAGCAGAAAAATGGCAAAAATGAGTGGATAAAGCTGAACTAGGCAGATAGAGAGGCTGACTAGATTACTGAAATATCTAAAATTAGCACACAAAAAAAGAAACAAATGAGCAGAAAAATACTGAATTTTTTTAAGTAGCTTAAAAGGCTAAAAAACTCAAATTAGCAGAACAATATTGAATACCATACCACTTTATTTATAAAGCACTTAAAACAGCGACAAGGCCAACCAAAGTGCTGTACAGACAAAACAACAGGTAACACACAAAGCAAAATACAAAATGAGGTAAATCAGAATAAAGACATAAAAACGATGCAGATAATGACGACAAACCAGTGTGGAGCATACAGGATCAAAACACAGATCATCTGGTGTTGAAAGCTACTGAATAGTAGTGAGTTTTTAAAAGGGACTTGAAAACCGAGAGGGAGGGGGTCTGTCTGACAAGCAGAGGTAACTCGTTCCAAAGTCTTGGTCCTGCTACAGAGATGGCCCTGTCACCTCTGCACTGAATGGAGCATAAACTTTTAGATTATTAAAGAGAAACACAAAAGGAGGCGATTAGCAAAAGAATAGCTGAAAAAAGGGCTCAGTTAAGCAACAAACACCTCAGAATCAGCTGAAAAAAAACAGATAAAAAGCTGAATTTAGCAAAAAGAAACAAAGGATTGAAGGGAAAAGGAAGAAAATGGATAAGAATAAGGTGAATTATTTATAAATATTAACAAAATTTTGTTAAAAATTATACTTTAAAAACAGGAACACACTGTAATTCGTAAGGAGACAGACAGACGGACGGACGGACAGACGGACGGACGGACGGATAGACAGATAGATAGATAGATTGATTTAAAATAATTTAAGTAAAAAAGACAAATGATGCCTAACATGCTTTGCTAAAGAAAAACCATGATACTGTGTTAAAACATCTAACATTATTACAAAATAAAAGATTTCATTAAGGTTTAATTTAACTCATTTAGCTTAAACTATTTTGTTTTAAATAAAACTGAAAATAACCAGTTTTGTGTTATTTTTATGATCAAACTTCAAACAGCAATAACTTGAAAAGTAACAAACAGAATAAAACAAATAGTCACTAGTTGTGTAAAATTGTCCTAAATGGAAACGTGACATGTGGTTTCTGAGAGTTTATGTCTAAAATCTGTGAAGTTTTAAAGAAATCCAAACTGTTAAGTGACTCCTTCAGCTGACTTCACCTCATGACTTCTGACACGTTGTGCACATGCTAAAGATCAAGCACACGAGCAGAACTCACCTGCTGCACACGGATCAAACACGAGCTCACAGACCAGCTTGTCAACTTCTGTGTTATTTTCCTGTGTCTGTGTATTTAATACACACACACACATAAATATATATATATATATAAATATATATTTATATATTTTATATATATTTTTTTTTTTTTTTTTGTTTTTTATAAAATGTGTGTCATTGGTTTAGGAGGTCGGGTTTTGTA